GCCTTAGGGTTACACTTTTCATTCAAATTTGCTTCCTTCCTTACATAAGTCACCCCTACCCATGTCTGAGCCACACTTTTCCTTTCATTTTATTTTCTGAGACAAGCTTTCATGTAGCCCAGGCTGGCCTCAGACTTTACATGTAGCCAAGGATGGCTTTGAATTTCCAATCCTCCGGCCACAACCTCCCTCCTAAATGCTGGGATTACAGGTGTGAGCCATCACACCTGGTGTGAAAGAGTCACCAGATTTCAAAGATTAAGTCTGGAAGAGACCGCAGAGCCTTTGTAGCTTTTATATTGATTGCACGCCTTCTCTGTTTTCTAAATATCTATTTTAAGTGTGCAAATATTTTGCCTGCCTGTATATGCACCGCATGCGTGCCTGTTATATCTCCGGGAACGAGAGTTATAGATGGTTGTGAGTCATTGTGCGAGTGCTGGGAATCAAGACTCAGGCCTCTGCAAGCAATGAGTGCTCCCAGCCACTGAGCCATCTCTCCAGACTGCTTTCTTTCCTTCCTTCCTTCCTTCCTTCCTTCCTTCCTTCCTTCCTTCCTTCCTCCTTATCTTTTCAGTACTTGTGATTGCTGTTTTTTCTGTCACTGTTGGGGGCTGAATGCAAGGCCTCGCATTTGCTAACAAGAGCACTATTGCTGAGCTGATCCTTAACTCCATTATTTTGATATATTTGGGCTAAACAAAATTTCTAACTAGATACACTTGTTTCTCTTAGAAAATTCAAGTTCAGGAGCCCACACGTGACTTTTCCCAATTCTGTCTCACACCCAGTTCTGGCCCCTCCCATTTTGTTATATTTTACCTTGGGTAAATTGTCTTTTTGGTTGAGCCTGTTTTCCATTTCTTCTCTGACCAGGCCAGACCCTACCTCCCACCTCCACCTCCAGTAGGCAACTCCACAGAGCTTGAATCAAGAGGTACCCACTCGCTGGTCAAATGACTGGGTACTTCTCTCAGCCCAGCACCCACGGGGGAGGGTCCCGGGCCTTCCAGGACAGGCAGAGAAGAGTCACAGCAGTTTGCCTGAGGAGCTAGAATGAGAGCTCGCGGCAGGAGAGAAACCCGACCGGACAGAGTCCTGCCGCCCCGCCTACTTACCTGGCTGCGCAACTGGTAGATGATGGGCACCAGCAGCAGGAGGCCGCCCAGTCCCAGCAGCACGTACTGCGCGTAGTGAAGCACCTGGGGCATCAGCACGAGCTGCGTGTAGAACGTGTTCAGGGGCTTGCCGCCCATGGCCCCGCTCTGCAGAGGGATGGATGAGCAAGTGAGGAGGGCCAGGCTGCACACTACATCTCCCCGGAACCTTCCCTTGTGTCTCGCCCCTCCCAAACTCAGACCAAAGAGTCCCAGAGCCCTTTTGCTTCAAGTTCAAGAAGAACTACATTTCCCAGACGCCTTTGCTGTTTGGCAGACCGATGTGTGAGGCACTGGCCAATCAACGGGAAGCATATCTGACCCCAAAGCCCCCCCCCCCCCTACAAGATTCATCTTTTTCACCAGTTAGAACCTAAAGGGTCATGAGAAAGATCAGCTGGCCTGGTGCCGATCTCCACCCCTGGGCACCGCCTCAGAGAAGAAGTGAACCTGACTTGGTGGTGGTGGTGGTGGTGGGGGGGGGGATGTTAGCAAACTCTGGGAATGGCTCAGTGGTTTAAAAGCACTGGCTGCTCTTCCAGAAAGCCCAGGTTCCTTTCCCAGCACCGATTTGCTGGTCCACAACCATCTGCAATTGCTGTTCCAAGGGCTCTGATGCTCTTTTCGGCCTCTGTGGGTACCAGGCTTTCATGTGGAATACATACATACATACATGTAGGCTAAACATCCATATGAATAACTAAATTCAGGTGCCAGAAGTTAAGCTAACATTAGCATCAAAGTGAAATAAAATAAAGAAGCCAGGCCCGCACTTCTCTCCACCTGCCTCAGACACACACACACACACACACACATACACACACACACACACCCCACCCCCAGACTTCCTAGGCCCTCAGAGTCCTCACCTGCTCAAACCACAGCAGGGGCAGGACCACGGGCTCAATCTTCCCTGTTTGCCTAGAGAGAAGAGGACATAAAGTGAGTGACCGAAGGTGACCTTGAGAACGGAAGGGGATTGTGTCGCTGGCTAGGTAGAGCCTTTAGATATGTGCAACACAAGAAAATGGGAGAGAAAGATGTAGTGGGAGCTTCGAAGGCAAGAGCTCGGTACAGCTGACTATCCTTCGCCAAGTTCAAGAACAGCCTGGGCTACATGAAGCCCTGGTTCTAATTAATTAATTAATTAAGGGGCTTGGCAAGAGTCAGCAGGTAACGGTGTTGGCCGCCAAGTCTGGTGACCTGAGTTCCAAGTCTAGGACCCACAAGGTGGAAGGAGAGAACACGCTTCCAAAAGTTGTCCTGACCTCCACGTGTGCATTGTAGCATATGCCTGTGCCCCCCCATAATAAATATATATTAAAAAAATAACAATGAATCTCATCCCACAGAAGCCTGGGTGGTTGTGTTTACAGCTGTCTACAGCGGAACCTGATCCCCACCACACAGGTCTAGATCCAGCGAGTACACACACTCCAGAGGCCAGAGGAGAAACTTTCGTGAGGCTGGAGGAATGTAACACATTTGATGTTCAAGTATATGAGACTGAGGTCAGATCCCGGAACCCAGACCGAAAGCTGTGTGTGGCTTTGAACCTCTGACCCCAGGGCTGAGAGGGGTAGAGACAGGGCTGGCTGGGGCTTCCGTGGGAAACCCTGTCTCGAGGGAAGAAAGTGTTCATGAAACACACATGCACACACGGTTCATAGCCACAAGGAGCCGGCAGGCCCCGAGCAAATCGCACCCTGAAGCTAAAGCGGAGGGGAAAGGGTTGTAGCAACAACACAACACTAGACTTCGGTTCCTTACTGTGACAGCTACTGCCAGAAGCTGATGATGCTGAGGGTGCTGGGAACGGGGGGGGGGGGGGGCCACACACGACAAAGATCTCCATTCCTGCCACCTCTCCATAAATCTGTGAAGATTCTAAAGAGTATTTTAGGCAGTGGAACAAATCAGTGTTTGGAAGCTGGCCTCAGGAGCTCAAGCCAGCCCACTTTGGCCTCCAGTTTCAAGAGCCTGGGTGAGCCAGGTCGAGTGCTGCAGGTCCAAGTTCAAGGCCACGATGGCTATAGAGATCCGGAGGCCTCCTGGCTTCATGGCTTGAGAGCCCATCTCGTCCTCAATCACAGCCTTCTAAGTGGTCCCGAGGCCTTCGATCCGTGACCCTGGGCATGATCAGCTCCAATGCTGGACTCTATTCCCAAGTCTCTACCTGGCAAACGTGGAACAGGGCAGGAGCCCTCACAGTGTCAGTCTGTGCACAAAATTAAAGTAAATCCAGGGAATGAAGGTTTAGGGCACTGACTGCTCTTCCAGAAGACCCAGGTCTTCTCAATTCTCAGCACCCACATAGTGGCTCATAACTGTCTGCAACTCCAGTTCCCTGGGACCCCACGCCCTCTTCTGGTCTCTGTGGGTATTGCACATGCACAGTGCATAGACATGCAAGCAGGCGCCTACTCTATTGCAATCTTTGTATTCTACTCCAAAGGAGGGAGACAGTTTGGGTTGACCAATCTGGCTGATGGAGAAGAGATCTTAGGAAAGGGGGAACAAAGGAGTGTCAGGGTGCAGGCTGGGTCTCCATCCAGCAAAGACATTGTCATAGGGAAAACAGAAGTGGACGGACCTTTGCCTCGTCCATGCCTTGCCTCTGCCAATGCATGAAGCCTCCTGGTCCCTGATGCCTTCAGAAGCTGCGACCCCAACCTACTCACCCAATGCCCTTGACAGACTTGATGAAGAGGCTCAGCTGCAGTTTCACAGAACAGTTCATGGGGATTCCAGTGACCTGGAGCAGAAAGCAGTGAGGAGAGCTGTTAAGTCCATGGAGGCCATGGGGCTAGAGAGATGGCTCAGAGGTTTCCAAAGGTCCTGAGTTCAATTCCCAGCAACCACATGGTGGCTCACAACCATCTGTAATGAGAGCTGGTGCCCTCTTCTGGCATGTGTATACACAATAATTTTTTTTTTCTTAAAAAAAAAAAAAAGACCATGAAGGCCAGTTCCCAACCTGCTCCAGTCTTGGGGTTCTGAGGGACTTCTCCCTCACCTGAACCAGGCAACAGGCTGGGGCAGCCACCCTTCTAGAAATTTCCTGTGCATGCACTAGGCTCTCACTCAGGAAATATATGCTTGATGAAGAGATCAGACACCTGCCACCTCAAGGTCCCCTCTACAGAGCCACTTGTCACCAAAGGGGTGATCTCCATCTGGGTTTTTGTTTTTGGTTTGGTTTTTCAAGAAGTGTATCTCTGTAGCTTTGGGTGCCCTGGAACTTGCTCTGTAGACCAGGTTAGCCTCGAACTCACAGAGATCTGCCAACCTCTGCCTCCTGAGTGCTGGGATTAAAGCCTTGTGCCACCCCTGCCCAGCTTGTTTTGAGACAGGATTTCATGCGGCCCAGGCTAGAATCCAGCTGGCCACATGACCAAGGATGATACTGAACTCCGCATCTCCCTGTCTCCACCTCTGGGCTGGCTCATGCCTAACTTTACACGGCGGCGCTGGGATGGAGCCCAGGGCTTCGTGCATGCTGGGCAAGCACTCTACCTACTGAGCTTAAATTTCCATCCTCACACAGCTTCCTCAGACAGTGACTCCCGAGTGCGGGGCATGTGCAGTAAGGATGGCCTTTTCTTTTTCTTTTTCTTTTCTTTTGTTTTAGTTTTAGTTTTGTTTGTTGAGACAGGGTTTCTCTGTAGCTTGGGAGCCTGTCCTGGAACTAGCTTTGGTAGATCAGGCTGGCCTCGAACTCACAGAGATCCGCCTGCCTCTTCCTTCCAAGTGGTGGGATTAAAGGCATGCGCCACCACTGCCTGGCTAGGATGGCTTTTTCAATCTGTTTACATTTCCCACTGGCTCAGAAAGCTCAGCACAGGGCCCGATCCAGGGTGGGTAGGGTTAAACGTGCAGCAGCTTGCGGCCTTTTCTCTTGAGTCGGAGCAACGCAGGATCTGCCACTTCCTAGCCGAGGCGGCAGCGAAGTGCTTCCTGCACACGGCTCTATTTTAAAATGCGATGCTTAAAAATTATCACGCGAATAATCACCAGGAGAACTGACACCCACGTCACTTCCCTCAGGGAGAAAGTTCTAGAACGACATGAGAGAAGCTTGGTGAAGAGGCCTCGGTATGAGGTTCCAGCACTGGGATGGGGCCCTGTGCAGAAGGTTTGCTGAGACTGCAGCTAGCCCTGCCCAGATCATGCGACTCTTGCAAGGATGACCGAAGCTGAAGGCCACCTCTCCAGTCACAGCCACCCACAGCAGAGGGCAAGGACATCATCGCCTTTCCTTTGAGTCCAGCACACCCAGGTCCCTCCTGTCCCCAGGGCAAAGGGAACTGGGCAAAGGCCTCCACAAACTGGATATGGCTTTCAGACAGAGGTGTGGGGATCCTAACCCTGCAAACAGCTTCACCGTGGGTGGGCTGAGCACCCCTCCCCAGGGACTCTGCCAGGTTGGGTGCCCAGTGTCAGTCTTGGATTCTAAGTTCCAGGGGGTTCCCTAAGCTAGGGTGTTGGCCTCACTGTGCCACATCCATTTGCTTAGACAGTTAATACTAGGCACCTGTGTCTTTGGGAGTCTGGAGCATGGGTCTGCCCCCAGGAGAGGGGCCCACAGGTCAGGTCCCCAGTAACCACCCAGGCCCCTATCCTGAGGGGCTTTCTCGACATAAAATATTTCCTATACATCAGGTTTCTTGCTGGGGAAGATATCAGACAACTTCCTCCCATGCGCCCATCCTTCCTCTGCAATAGCCCTCGGCTGTGAGCCAGGTGTGAAGATGCACTTAGAAGCTGAGGCAGGACTGCAAGTTGAAGACCAGTTGCAGGCCCCGCCAGAACCAGAGCACCTGTCATGTGTGAGAGGCCCATGCTTCCATGCCCATCCAGTAAAACAAAAAGGGTTTCACAAAATGCCTTCAGGGCGTCATGGGTGCCCGTGCAAGATAGGGATCCTGAGACTCCCCAAGTTAATGGTAAGGACAACAGCCTGACTAGACACATCCCACAGTAACCAGAGGCAAAGAGAAGGGCTGTGCATACCAGAGAGGGCCTGTCACCCTCCTGGCCCTGGCTAGTGGATACAAGTTAACACAGGACAAATTCCCCACATCGATTTCTCTGTGAGACATTGTGGCTCACACTGATGTCTTGAAATCTTTAGTGTCTTGACACTGTCAAGGGTATCTCTGGTGCAGGAGACGTTCCAGCTGATATTTCTTAATTAATTTATCACCACATATCTTTTTTATAGGCCCTAATAAAAAAGTAATGACATCACTGAACTATGGAATTGGGGACCTTTGATGGCTCGAAGTTCTAGAAGCCACCACTGTGGAAGCAGAACTGGGCTCCCCTACCCAAGTCTGAGCCAGCCGTGCTGGGGGGAGGGGTGAGAGGGAAGAGGAGCACGCAGCAACCCACCAGAACCATCCTCAGCCTCTAGCGGGGCACAGGACTTACCGGATGAATGTCCAGGAACAAGGAATGCTCTTTTGGGTCAGGGTTCAGACCGAGCACGGCTTCAGAGAGCACAGGGTCCGCATTGTAGAAGTGAGGGTGTGACAGGAACAGGGGCGCGCCTGGAGGGGGAGAAGGACAGGGTCGGAAGACTGGCTGGGCACCAGGCTTGCAGGACAAGGAAGAAAAGAGACCCGCAGTCAGTGGGGGCATTCACAAGATGTGACATTGGTGACCAGGCAGGGAGAACCCCTTCCTTCACTATGTAACGAAGTTGGGCACAGGTCACGAGGAGGGTGGATGGAGCCAGGGTGGCTGATTCAGTGGCAGGGGTGGGTGGAGGAGGGGAGAGGGCAGCTGCCACCAAGTGAGGGAAAGGCATGCCAGGTAGGAGTGTGGCAGAGGTGAGAGCAGGGAATGAAAATGGGAAGGAAAATCAAGGTCACGTGAATTTGAGAGGGGAAGCTGCATCCGAATGCCAAGCCAGACGCATGAGCTGCTTTTGCAGTCATCATAGATCAGGGGTGCACATGGGTGGGTCACTGACATCACAGGAGGTAAGGGGACAGCCCTGGCAAGAGATTCCCATCTAGGACCCTGAGACAGGACCTCACTACCAATCCCAGGAAAAGGACCTGATGTGTGAGTTACTAGTTACATAGGGTGTCTGAATTTTTTTTAAAGATTTATTTATTTATTATGTATACAATGTTCTGCCTGCATGTGTCCCTGCAGGCCAGAAATTGGCACCAGATCTTATTAGAGATGGTTATAAGTCACCATGTGGTTGGGGGATTGAACTCAGGACCTCTGGTAGAACAATCAGTGTTCTTAACCGCTGAGCCATCTCTCCAGCCCCAGGTGTCTGAATTCTTTCTGGTGCTCTGTTGACTTTGAATTTTTTGAAAGCTGATCAGTGAACAGCAGCTGCTGAGAGACACTGGATTATGGAAGGGACTGCTGAATTAAATCCGCCTATATGCCTCAAAGATGTGCTGATATCAGAATGGAAACCAGGATATGTGTTATGTTGGGGAAGAGGTTTTTCTTTTGCTTCCACAGGATACCATCAAAATTGATAAAGATCAGATTGGAACAGCAGAGACCTCTTGATTAGGAGAGGCAATAGCTCATCAAACAGCATGGCCATTCAACCTGCCAAACAGGGAAACTCCCCAAAGCTAAGTTGAGGCAGGGTTTTGTTTTTGTTTTTCCAGGAGAATAAAAACATCCAACTAAGGAATCTGAAGCCCACAGGACAAATGAGACATCTGAAGAAGGAGGAATCACACAGAGAAAATGCCCCAAGAAAGAGCAAACTGTCCTAATGGTATAGCACACTTCCAACAGGATAAAGACCTCATAAATCTTCCCAAATGTTTGTCTTTACTGTTCTCTACAGACATATAAGGCAAATGGTCTTTTTGTAATTATAGCTCAATTAAAAATTAAAGATGACCTTGGAATTGGAATGTGGCTCTCTCCTTCTCTAAACCCAAGCATGTTTTTTAAAGAAAAATCCAAAATCTCTGTCTCATGTCAAAAGAACCACCTGGTATGAATAACAGAAAAACAAACATTAGGGACTATTCTATCGCCACTAATCTCATACTCCTTAGGTTTTATTTTGGCTCTCTAAAACTTTTCTTAAGGTATAAATATCTCAAAATTTATAAGATTAATATATATTAATTATATATATAATATATATCTGTCATAATATTAATGGTCATACAGAGTATTAACTGATTCTAGAAATAGGTTTCATCTAACTTCCTGTATGTGATTTGGACTTGAGTCTGAAGTAGGTACTAGGAGTTAAGTTTGCATAACCCAGATGCATTTAATAGATTGTGATCCTTTAGCCGCTCTAATATCTGCTGCATATGATATAAAAAATGTTTACGTTTCCTACAGTGAACCGTGACCATTCTTAACAGTGACTTTGAAGTCTCTAAAAGGATGTTGGGGCCCCACAGTGACAAACCCACCTGGATTGTGGTAATGCTATTAAGCTGACAAACACCCCCCAAAGACCAGTTTTGTTCTACAAACTGTTCAGGACAACTTCAAAGTGGTCCAGCCCCGTAGAAGACTCCAGTCAGGACTTCAGATGAGCCTTGCACTCTGCCATCCTACCAAGACAGGACAACAGCCGGTTCGCCCAGAACTTGATCTTTATCTCATTTTTTTCAGGTTCCCCAAAAGATACCATCACCCCCAGACAACAGGAAGCAAGCTAGAGAACACAATGCCCACGTTCCCAAGAGGTGGACTGGGTGGTTTTGGTTGGTAGGTGGGTTACGGTTGTTTAACATTGTTTAAGGAGGTTGGTTACAAGTTGTTATTGGTCATGGTCAGGAAGGAAACTAAGCAAAAGAGATTAGAGTCTAGGATCTCGTTCTGAAAAGAAAAAATGATACAGGACTGATAGGTTAAAAGGGTAGATTATTGAATCTGCTTTTAAAGTAAAAAAGTAAATACTAGTCTCAAACAGTTTACATGGGTATGGATTTTGCAAGGTTATTTTTGTTATACTGCATTATGTTTCTATATCTTGTTTAAGATATTGTACCTATGCAGCTCATTTTAAAAATGTAATGTAAAGTTCTCGTCCTTGAAAGCTATTTAGGACAATAAAGAAATACAGGAGTAGTTAGTCATCTATAACCATCAAACTTATAGTCATGTAGGTACATTTTCAAGGTCAATCAGAGACATATTTCAAATAGACAGATGGTCTTCAAACACTTCAGAGACCTGCAGAATATGGCACTTTAATATTTTAATAACATAAGGCTTTCCATGACAGTGAGACACGTCTGCTTCTGGCAGCACCAATTTATTTTAAAAAAAAAAAGGATGATTGGGCATTGAAGAAATTCCATATGGAATTTGCTTTCACTGTAGGAAAGCTTGCCATTTGAGCAAGAAACTGCTTTTGCCTTGACTGCTGACAGTATGCTGTCCAAATTTGACAAGCAAAACACAAAAGATGGCAACTGTGGAACTTTGTGAAGATGAGATAGGACAGTCCTTCAAAATTCCTGCTTCCCAGAAGTCTGTCAGCTATTCTAGGCCTGTAGGCCGAAGATGGATGCCCCAGCATTGCAGGGGAACCTTGGGTGAGTGTCTCGACAGTCAGCGGTTTCTGTCCATTTCTATAGTTTTAGAAGTTGTTGGTTCTACACTTCTTGTTTATATCCTCAGGTCTCAGACAGAGTTGAAGACAAAACAGTTATAGCTTCAGTTTTCCCCGTTACCAAATTCAGAAAATAAACTCACAAAAGAAAGTATAAAATGAATAAGCTCGAGAGCCATAGAAGTTTAAATTGTTTATCTAAGAAAATGCTTTGGGAGAAAAAAGATAGTTTTGGGTTGGTAATACAAGTTATGATATAAGTGGTTTAGGTATAAAACTTTGAACTCATTAAGATAAGAGAGGTAATAATTTCTCTAAATTTGCCAAATACAAATGGACTGGATATTATAAACACAGTTCTTACCTGATAATTGTTCTTTTTCTATGTAGTTTTACTATGTTAGAGTTAAAACCTTTTCCTTTTTATTTAGACTAAAGGGGGAAATGTTGCAAGATATTTGATTGCATTGTACAAAGGTATGTCACTGTGGCTGGTTTAATTAAAAGCTAAATGGCCAAAAGCTAGGCAGGAGGTATAGGCAGGACTTCTGGGCAGAGAGCACTCTGGGAAAAAGGAAGAAGGAACTGCCAGCCGGACACAGAGGAAGCAGGACATGCAGGAGAAGAGGTAAAAGCCACAAGTCATGTGGTAGCATGGAGACTAGAAACGGGTTATTTTAAGTTACAAGAGCTAGTTAGAAACAAGCCTAAGCGAAGACCAAGCTTCTATAATTAATAAGAAGCCTCTGTGTCATTGTTTGAGAACTGGTTGATGGGACAGAGGACTCGTTAGGGTGGAGAACAGGAGTTACTGAGAATCCAGGTGAATCCACAGACCCTCCAAAGTCACCCACGCTTGCCTTCAGTTAGGAAAACCCCGTCTCCACCCCTCCGATCCACTCTGGGAAAGGAGACACCAGCAAACACCAGAACCCCAATTCTATAGGAGGGACACCGTGGATCCTGGAGAAATGAAGCTGCCCCCTAACCACACCTGGAAGGCACAGATTCCAGCAGGGTGTCATGGCTGCCGACACCGCCTGCTGCAGATGGCACACCCATGAGGCTTTCTAACAACAGGTGTGCTTCATCTTCTTTCTTTATTTTCAAACACCCTCAGAGAGACACACCCAGGCAATAAGTATAATTAATTTATAGCTTTATGAGCTATGTATCCAGACTTAGCTGCTCAGGATCACTCCAGTTGTGATTAAGAGACATTCCAGGAACGGTCTGAGGCATCTCCCTGTCCTAGACAGGGAGATGACATGAGGGGAGTCCTGAGTCCAAGGAATTCTCGTAACCCAGAAGGGGAAACCTACGTGCATTCTTTATCGTCAGATAAAATGCCACAGAAAGGTGGACTCAGTCAGGTGCATCCTCACAGCATGTGCACGAATGTCCTAGAAGCACCCTTGTAGTAGCGAAATGCCACGAGATAGCTCCATGAACCAGGAAGGGGTAGGGCAAGGGGAGCATAGTCCCACTGTGGATTACTACACAACAAGCTAGAGGCTAAATTCAACCAGATGGACCATGTGGATGCGGGAGGGGCGGCATTAGGGAGTGGGGGGGGGAAGAACACACAACATGACTCCATCTACATGAAGGCCAGTGGGAGATAGAGAGCCTAGAGACCAAAAGTCAGGCAGTGGGCAGGAGGAGCGGGAAACACTGCGCCCTACAAGGTCTGCCTCTTCGTGGGGTTGCTGTTGGCCACACGGCTGTGCTCCCTTTGCAGATTTCAAACCGCTCAGACCATTTGAGCCACCCCCTCCCCGTCCTTGTTTTTCTCCCGTTTAAAAAAGTTAAGTGTTGGGGGTCAGGAAAATGGCCCGGTCAGTGAAGTGTCTCCTGCGCAAGCCCGAGGCTCCAGCACTCGCACTGAAAGCCAGACGTACACATCTGTGTACGGGCAGCACAGGTCTGTAACCTCAGCACTGGGAGGCAGAGGCAGGTGAATCCCTAGAGCTCGCCAGGTCACGTGTTAGTGAGAGCTTCTGTCTCAAAAGATAAATAGAGAGTAAGAGAGAAAGACACCCAGCTCTGGCCTCCATGCGTGCATGGACCAGCAAGCACATGCTTGTACCCACACTGCCCCCGAAAAACAAAACAAAACAAACAAACAAACAAACAAACAAAAAAACAAAGAACAAGCTACAGACACGGTACACTTAGAACCTCTGGCACATCTGAAATCCTGTCCCTTTCAACAGAGCTCTACTGGGATGTCGGGATGTCGCTGCTCCTGCGGTGTGGTCTCAGTGACTAGACATATTGGAGCAAGCTCTGGGACTGAGCACCAAGAGGAAGGCAGAGCTGGGGTTGTGGATACAGCTTCCTGCCCACAGGGAAGTCCTGTAGAGCTCTGCCCCGGAAACTTGAATCCCACGAACCAACACGTGTCACAGTCAGGCCAGGCAGCTGCCACCGGTCACAGATGTCTGTACAGCAGGTGGCCTGGTGGGCTCTGTCTTACAAGGGGAACTTGTGGACTAGGATCCGCCATTCCCTCACTTCTCTTCTTCCCGGCCCACGGCCACATCCCCAGAGCCCGCTTCTCTAGACAGCATTCCACCCAAACAGGCTCTGAAAGTCAGACCCAGTTAGAGAGAGGTTGTGTCTGGCCAACCAGGTCGCCATTCTGCCTCAGGCCTTCTTGCTTCTGTCTGTGCAGAGCTCAACACTTTGTGAACAATGAGTAGAAGGCTGGGCATCCCGGGTGGGGGAGGAGGAAAGGCACAAGGTTTGCAGTCCAGGGAGGGGACAGGCAGGGAAGGGGAGCAGGCACTAGGAAGGCGCTAAGAGAACGCACACAGAGAATGGCCAGAGGGCCAAAGAGGAAGATCAGGCAGGGCCTCTGAGAGGATGTGAACAGAGGAAGCTTTTCATTTCAATCTCATTCACATCTGGTGCAACGTGAGCTGGCAAGGGACACGGAGCGGACCACAGTAGCAGACTGGGGAAGAAGCTGAGGAGGAAGGGGAAAGAATGCGTGGGAGGGACCTGGAGCTGCCTAGGCCTGACCACCAGGTGAGGGGTGAGGGGGTGTGGCCTGGAGCTGACACCCAGGTATCCAAATAGAGCAACAGAGGTGGGCATAGCAGGGTCTGGCACACGGTTAGAACTCAGAGCGGACGCCAGGGGACACGGCCAGCACCAAGATTCACACACCCGGCTCGGCTGAAGCGGAGAGTTTTACACAACACCAGAGCTGCCAGTTGGACTCTGCCAAGCTGTTGCTTCTCTGCAGGTGAACGGCCCCAGGGGACGCTCCCACCCACATCCCAGTGGGTAAAGGGATCACAGCCACAGCCACCAGGCTCAAGATCGGCTGTCGCCTCCCAGTGGCCCCCAGCCAGCCAGTCTCTGGGGTCCTGAAAACATGAGCTGGGCAGAGGAGGAGGGCACAGAATGAAGCGTTTTGGCAGAGCTGGTGTCAGGGTATGTGCCTACCACCCCAGTGTTCAGACGGCAGGGGCAGGAAGGATGCCATGTTAGAAGCGAACTTGGGCCACACAGCGCTACGGTCTCAAATTGGATACTAGGTTGAAAGGAAGGGGCCACAAGCCAAGGAATGTGGTGCCTCCAGAAACAGGAAGGGGATGAGGGCAGACTCTTCTCCCTGGCCAAGAAACGATGCCCACTGTCAGAATCTTAACCCTTCGGACTTCGGAGTGATACAGCCCGTGGCTAATGAGAGCTGGTGGGACGTTATCAGGGTGGCATTATCTTTAGTTCCCTATCTGTGGCCCTGGGCTCATCAGGGGTGCAGAGACCAGAGATTAATGGGACTGCAATCTGGCAGCAGATAAAACCCTGGTGCCACCCTTTCGCTTCAGTCTGGAGGCAGGGAAGCAATGTGGAGGAGACACTTACCCATCCTGCAGGTGCTGACGTTCTGAATGCCAGACTCGAGGCACGGACAGAAGCCTTCATTGGGTGGGTAGACGGACCCATTGGCAAACAAAGTCTTGGGGGCCGTGAAGCGATAGATGGGGATGCCTTCAAACACCCCTGAATTGTGGTAGGTGAGCTTCATGGACCTGCAGGGAGGAGGCAGGGTGAGAACTATTCCCTTAGCGCTCAACTTAGCAGGAGAATCAGGGGATCAAGGTCGTTCTTGACTACACAGCAAGTTCACAGCTAGCCTAGGTGATATGACACTCTATCTCAAAAAAAAAATCAAAATAAAATAATAATAATAAATAAATAATAATAAAACATTGTGAACAAAGCTTCACCTGCACTGCCCACCTGCTAAATTTTCTCCTTGTTCCCCAAACAATAAAGAAAGCCGGCACCTGCCCTGTCCTGGTGCACTAGGTACGGTCCCCTGAGGTAACCTCAAGTTTACAGAGCCCCTGTCCATTTACAGTGAAATGCCATTCTCTCTCCTCTCTCTTCAAAACAGGGTTTCTCTATGGCTGTCCTGGAACGTGCTCATAGACCAGAATAGACCAGGCTGGCCTCGAACTCACAGAGATCCGCCAGCCTCTGCCCCCCGAGTGCCGGGATTAAAGGTGTGCGCCACCACCACCCGGCACCACACTCTCTAGATAGGGACTGAAGCACAGAGGACTGTGGGAACTAGGGCTTTGGGCAATGGTCTCCTGTGGATGCTGAGGAACAAGCAATCACCAGGGCCCCTACTGTCAACCTGTAGTAGGATACCACCCCCAGCTTCCCTCACCCCTCCTGCCTCACTCCACCCACCAAGGGCCTCTGAGGTGCTGTTAAACATACCCCTTCCTGCCCCAGGAACTTTGGATCCTACCTCTCCCTCAGCATGAAATGCACACACATCAGACTTCAGCTTTCTGGGTCCCCCTTGCCCACCCTCACTCCTCTCCGTCCATTCACCCTGTGGTCCAACCTCAATCACACTTCTGACTGGAAACAAGGATGGGGTGACCCACTCTGCCCATAGTCAGCACCACACACACACACACACACACACACACACACACACACACACATCTGCCCAATCCTCAAAACAAGGAGCATCCAGAACACTGGTGTGGTGGCTTACAGCTTTAATCCTTGGATTGGAGAGATGGAGGCGGGAGGATCTTTGTCAATCCCAGCAGCCAGGGCTACACAGTGAGACCCATCTCAAGACAAACAAGAGTCCAAATGGGATGAACTGCAAGAGGATAAGACACTCTCTCTCTCTCTCTCTCTCTCTCTCTCTCTCTCTCTCTCTCTGTGTGTGTGTGTGTATGTGTGTGTCTCTCTCTCTTTTTCTTTATGGAGCCCTGTAGTCTCTCTATGTAACCCTGGGACTCATTACATAGACCAGGCTGGCCTCAAACTCAAAGGGATTCATTTGCCTCTGCCTTAAGTGGTGAGATTAAAGGCATGTGCCGCCACTGCCTGGCTGGCACCCAGATTTCTAAAACCTGATACTCAACAAAAGCGCTTCTCAGGAATGTTTAGAATAATATTTTAGATAAATAAAATATATCTAACGAATAAATATTTTAGTCAGATAAAATGTTATTTTCACACAGTGTGATGGTAAGTTTGGTCAATTTGACATATTTAGAATTTCCTGCAGAGAGACTCTCAATAGGAGAGTGTCTAGATCAGGCTAGCCTGTGAAACTGTCGTGATTCCCTTAATCGATGTGGGAAGACCAAGTCCACAGTGGGTGGCATAGTTCCCTAGATCTAGATCATGGACTATATGAGAGCGGAGCCAACGATCTGAGCCCTAGGTGTGAGCGCACTCAGTTTAACTCTCTGCTCTTGTAAGTGAACTGATTAGCAGCCTAGAGTTTGGGCTTTGGTCCCCACGCCCACCCACAAGGATAGATCGTAACCTGACATTACAAGCATGGTTTGTTTTTTAATTTATGTGGCAGCACCAACTCAGATCTTATCAGGTCGATGTTAAATTCCCTGATTTTGAGCCTTGTGATTGTGTAAGAAAACACCTTTGTTTTTGGAGAACACCCCCTAAAGGGTTGATGGAATGGGACCTGGCCTGCATCCCAGTCTCAAGGGATTCCAGGAGGGAGCAAACAGAGGAGCGTGTGGAGCAATGGTTCCAGAGATGAGCAAAAGAGAAGAGAAACACAGGGAGCCACTGGCTGCCAAGTGGGTGAATGCACAAGAGTCCTGCAGTCAAGGGCTGGTCTCGGGGTGCTACTGGGTTGGGAAAATCTTTAAGAAGTGGAGTCTATGCCTGGTTGTGGTGGCACACGCCTTTAATCACAGCAAACTGTGGAAGGCAGAGGCAGGTGGATCTCTGTGAGTTCGAGGCTGGTCTCTCCTACAGGCTAGTTCCAGGACAGCCAAGGCTTCACAGAGAGACCCTGTCTCGAAAACAAGCAAACCATGTGGTATCTAATGGTAGGGCTTCAGGTCACTCAGGGTGGCCTTGAAAGGGGCTGAGGGATCCCAGGCTCTTCCTCAGTTTCCCGCTAAGCGTCTTGCTCAGTCACAGGTTCATTAGAAACACTAACCCGGCTGAACCCACGTAAACCAAGCAAGTGCTGCACCCCCGAGTCACACCCCCAGGGCTCCCACCAGACAACACTGCCTGCAAGATCTTCAAAAGTATCTTGTGCCTGTACTGAAAGCTCAGAACCTGAGAGGGAAATGCATCTTTCCTTCCCTTTGTGTCACAGGTATAGGTATTTCTATGTCATGGGTGTGTTTATATGTTACGTGTGTGCACATGTGTGTGCTGTAGGTCAGACACCGACACTGGATTTCTTTTTCAGTCACTCTTCCGCCTTTTTTGAGATGGCCTCGCCGTGCACCAGAGCTCATCCATTCTGCCAGGTTGGACAGCTTTCCAGCTCTCTCCCGCCTTCGCCTCCCCAGCGCTGGGTTCCTAGGCAAACGCTACTGCTAAGTTCTGAGGACTGAACTCAGGTTCTCTTGCTAATGACCGAGCCTTTATGGACCGAGCCTTCCCCAGTTCTGAGCCACCTCAATCACCTCTGTCACTGACAGAGGCCAGGCTGAAGATGTTTCCTCTAAGTCTGGAACCCTATTTGGGGACTGGGGCCTGACTCGGGGAAAGAACACCTACTTACTGTATGTGAGGCTCTGGGTTCCATTATCAGTGCGTGTGTGCACGCGTGTGCGTGTGTACACGCGTGTGCGTGTGTACACACACACACACAAATGGGCTGGAGAGATGGCTCAATGGTTAAGGGTACTTACTGCTCTTCTAGGAAGACTTAAGTTCGGTTCCCAGCCCCCATGCTGGGCAGCTCACAACCCACCTATAACACAAACTCCGGGTGATCTGACGCCTTCTTCTGACCTCCCCAAGCACCCACGTGCACGCACACAGACCCACACAGATACACATAATTAAAAAAAATAGCAATACATTTTTAAAAATAACGAAGCTCTGCCTTTGAAAGCACCCAATGGGACACAAGCAGCAAGGCACAGACTTTGCCCACCCATCATGGTGGTGTTCACACCTGGCACGGAGCATAGTTGCCTGTGTTAGCTAGAGAGGCAGAGGGCTCAAAGGTCAGCCCAGTGGATTCCCAGGCCAAGGTCACCTCCAGCGTGGCCAGAATGGAACACCAGCCGGGGCACCACTCGGGAATGAGCCCAGAGACCCCTCACGTCTTCCCAGGCCACAGTCAGGACCCTGGGACGGTGGAGCCCAAGTGACAAGGCCCCAGCACACCTCTGAGGCAGGGGAGTTGGAAATTGGTAGACTGAGCAGGAACTGCACCCAGCAGTCAGAGATCTAGGCTCCTGGAGACCCCAGGCCTCCAGCTCCACTTCACAGTTCACCTCAGACCTTGACTGTTTCCTGCCATCGCCACTCTCACGACCGAGCCCTCAGCAGCCACAGGCTCACAGCCTCTCTGGGAAAAAGTCAGGCTACACGGTTCCCCTCTCGGACACCAGCGGAGGGCGCTGTTTGGGGGAGGTTGATAACCCCTTAAGGTGCAAATCCTCAAGCAACCAAAATCCAAAATAAATCCCCTGCCCAGTCACCTCTGCCAGGTGTTTTGTCCCAGCGACAAGAAAAACTGAGGCATAGCACGCAGCGGGCCAGGCCCCGCACTCCCTAGGAGCAGAAGCAGAGGCAGGGAGTCCCCATGCAAGCGTTACCTGCAGGCCTCCGGGCTGAAGAATTCCAGCGACGACTGGGTTGTCATGAACGGTGCCCACATCTGCCCGGAAGTCCCGTTGATCATGTTGCACTGCTCCGAATGCCAATAGTTGATCTGTGGGCAGACAGGATGAGATGCAGCCTGAGAGCCAGCCGAGGCCTGCGCCTAAGGCATGCCTCCGTGAGATATCACCATACTCAACCAGGGCACAGAGCAGGCCGGGTAGTCAGACCATCGAGCGGGGCCTGAACACACAGCATCGTTGGGGACTCTATTAAGTCATCTGTACAATGGGCCCATGGCCCACACCTTCTTGCTCTCTCTCCCAAATGTCAACATACACACCCTGCAGACAAGAGGAGCTGGGACATGCCAGGGGAGCTATTAAGGTGACAACAGTAACAGCTGAAGACCTGGAACTGGAATCCATCGGAGTGCCTACCTCTAATCAGGGAGGCTAGAACTCAGAACCGATACTCAAGATAGCCAGGGTGGTGCATGTCCTAGATCCCAGCGCTTGGGAGGCAGAGGTGGGAGGATCTCTTGTGAGTTTGAGACCAGCCTGGTCTATATAGTGAGTTCCTGGCTAGCCAGGGCTATGCAGTGAGATCCTATCTGTGAAACACGGAAGTAAAGCATGCATGCACTTTCCACTCTTCTCTGCAGGGCGAGCTCCTCCAGTCCGGCGTCTTATAGTAGAAAGGAGCTGGCTGATGTGGACAGCACCCACCAAGAATGGTTGCTGCCTGGGTGTGGTAGCATACACATCTATGATTTAAGCACTGGGGAGGCAATTGAAACAGGAGGATTGAAAGTTTGAAGCCAGCCTGGGATGCAAAATGAGACCTTCTTTCAAAATAAAAATTTAGCGGAGTGGTGGTGGCAGATGCTTTTAATCCCAGCACTTGGGAGGCAGAGGCAGGAGGATCCCTGTGAGTTCGAGGCCAGCCTGGTTTACAGCGTGAGTTCTAGGATAGCTAGGGCTGTTACATAGTGAAACCCTGTCTCGAAAAACCAATAACAAGAAGGAGGAGGAGAAGAAGAAGAAGAAGGGTAGGAGCAGTAAGATGGCTCAGCAGGTCAAGCTTGGGAGAATCCCCCAGTGAAGGGCTGAGGGTATGGCTTAATGGTAGAGTCTCTGCCTAGACTCTCCAAGTGAGGGCCTGGGAACAGAGTTCGGAGTTGGCACGCCTACAATTCCTCACTGAAGGACTGGGGGTGTGGCTCAGTGGCAGAGTCCCTGTGGAGGATGCACAAGGCCTGGGCTCCATCTTCAGTAGCTGACAAACATAACAATGCAAACACACAATCTACATAAAGATGTCCTAAGGAGGAGAGCCAACCGCAAAGTAGCACACAACAGGATCTCTGTGTGCTCAAAGAAGGAAGGAAAACACATTTCTCTGGATACACAGAGGTGCGTCGGTGGGTAAATGGCCAGGAAGCTGGTCCCACAAACAGTGCTGGGGGTTTCCGGGTGGGTCCAGGCAAGATGCTGGGCCTCCATTGTCTTATCTTTATGGGAATGTCTTCCTGTCTGCCTTGGAAACGAGAACGCAGGGCAGAAGAGTGAAGAGTTCCCAGCAGAAGCTCTCAAGGGGCAGTTCCTGGACCAGCGACGTCCCCAGGTGACCCCGATGCCCTCTCGAGAGCGCTTGCCGTCCCCCAAGGCTTGTCTCCAATCTAGTCCCTGCTTCAGAGGATGGGGACTGTCTCTCCCTCCTGCTCACCTTGCTGAGTCCGTTCCATTTGTCCACCAGGTGAATCCTGCTGAAGTTCTGGACGCCCGTGAACACAGTGAAGACACCAGAGTCCGAGTTATTCATCTGTGGACAGGCGGAGAACAGCGCCCTGAGCCTGAGATTGGGGGCACGAGACCTGGACACAGGCACAAGACCGCCTGTTCTTTAGCTATGGACAGGTCCCCTCAATACCCATTGACTCAGTGATGGGGACAGGACCCAGGCATTGTACATGCTGGGCAAGTGCTTGGCCACTGGACCACATCCCCAGCCTTTTTTTTTTTTAACTTCACATTTTGAGACAGGGTCTCACTAAGTTGTCCAGGCTGGTTTTGAACTTGCCATGCACCTGCCTCATACTCCCATATACAGAAATGATAAGCCTACTCCCTCTGACCCAGGACCTAATTCAGAATAAAAAGGCATTTAAGTGGGGGAGTAGTGGCACACATTTTAATCCCAGAACTCAGGAGGCAGAGGCAGATGGATCTCTGAGTTCAAGGCCAGCCTGGTCTACATAGTGAATTCCAGGGCAGCCATACCTATATAGAGAGACCCTCTATATCGTTTGTCTCAAAGTAAACAAAGAAAGAAAAAAGGAAAAAAAGAAATAAAGCACTTAATACAAATTCCCCAGGGGAAAGAGTACCACAGAAGGATCTAGAAGCTCAATGGAAGAGCCAGCATAGTAGAATGGACCAGAGGTCACAGAGGCAATAGCCCTGTTAATCCCAGATCGGCTAAGCAGAATGGCTGGGGAGTAGAACTTGGTGGAATGTGCTCTGTCTCCTCGCCTGTCCCCACAGGAGTCCCAACACAGCTGTGAGAAAGAAGCTCACAGTGGAAAGGGCAGGCGCAGAAACAGGGCTTCACCTGGGGCTTCTGACACCGGGCATTCAACCTGCTGCCCTTAGTCACCTTGTTACATGTCCACCACACGGGGTTCTCACCTGGTCACTGGAGATGCGGTGCCATACCCAGAGCCTGTGTATGTATTTTCTTTCTTTTTTAAATATTTTTTATGGTTTATTTAACTTTATTTTATGTGCATTGGTGTGAAGGTGTCAGATCCCCTGAAACTGGATCTTCAGACAGTTGTGAGCTGCCATGTGGATGCTGGGAATTGAACCCGGGTCCTCTGCAAGAGCAGTCAGTACTCTTAACCACTGAGCCATCTCTCCAGCCCCCTGTGTATGTATTTCTATTTTACGTCTAGGATTGAGTCTTTTGTCTGCATGGTATGTCTACGCATGCAGTGTCTGAAGAGAGCCAGAAGAGGGCGTCAGATCCAACTGGAGCTACAGATGGTTGTGAGCCCCCATGTGGGTGCTGGGAATAGAATCTGGGTCCTCTTGAGGAGCAGTCAGTGCTTTTAACCACTGAGCGGTAAATTTCATCTAAGCTCCGTACAACAGGTCCTGGAGGTGACTGGGTCATGCCACTGACCCTTCCTTCATGTCCATGTCATCAGCAGACCCCCTCAGAAGAAAGCTGAGCTGGAGCAGGGAGTCAGGGTCAGGGGTCAGGGGCCTCAGGTTACGGATGGTCAAGACTGAGAATAAGGGGGCACCTCTAAGTAGCACTTAATGGGACATTCGAGGTATGTCTCTCGAGAATCCAGGCTTCCTCCAGCAGAGCCTCAAATTTCTAAGCTAAACCAGTCACATGCCCCCTTGAACTGGATTGAGCCACACCTGAATGCAATAGCAGCATTTTCTGTTATCTGAGCTGCCAGTTTACTCAATTTTACTTAAGCTGGTTTGAGTTAGGGTCTTCACCCGACAGCTGGCTTTCACAGCAGTCTGTGTGGACGGGAGATACTCACCCCAACAAACAGGCCAAACTTGCCCTTGACGGGGAACATATCTGGGAAGTACTTGTTGATAAAATTCAAGAGGGGATCGTCGTAACCCCACAGGACCTCGCCAACCGTGCGGTTCATAAAGGCACGCTGGCCCATGGTGGCCAGCCCCAGGGTCATCATCAGCTTCAGGCCTGCGGACTTGTCCTCCATCATTACCGAGCCCCCCTGCAAAGTCAAACAAAGACACGGAGGTAGGGAGATGGATGTGTTTCCCTCCTCCATCAGGGCTCAGGCAAAGAGCCCAGGCCCTCAGTGTGAGCCTTTCTCTGGTCCTTGTCACCAGGGGTGTTCTCCCAGACAGTCACGAAGCTCAGGCCAGGCATTCAGAAGCCCTCCTCGGCCGCTGTAACTGCAGAGCTACACCTGAGGCCTGGCAGGAGCCAATGGCGCACCAGGAGACGCTCTGCAGAGCTGGGACCCAGCACAGAGAAGGAGGTTCCCAGGCTGTCCTAACCTGAGAGCAGCTGAGGCTGTTGCCAAGGTTAGGAGCAGGCCTGCCAGAGAAGAGGACCAGCAAAGCTCTGTTTACAACTAGGATGCCAACTCCACGCTATCAGCAGCATGAGCCCAGAAACGGAGTAGACTGAGACAGTCTCCCCAAACCTTGCAGTCCCCTCTTCTAGGTTTTTAACCACAAGGTCTCAAGATGTAGTCCAGGTTGACTTGGAACTCAGTATCCTCCTACCTCAGCCTCTTGGTGGGGATTCCAACCCACTTTTCATGTCTGCTCCCCACCTCAATTGGGAGTCCAGGATTTCCGTTCCCCCCAGGGTCAAAGTACCCTGAGTGCAGCTGCAGATAAAGTTTTGTGTTTGCAGCATGCATGGGGCCTTGGTTTTTCCAAAGGCCACTCAACCAAAAGCCACCTTCCGCCTCCAGGGCAACACAGAGCTGGACTTTCCAGGTATTTTCATTGAGCATGTTATGTTGCCCCCCTCCCCACACCCTTACAGGTCCCCTTCATTATCAGTAATCAACACAGGGTTTCTATTGTTTATTGGGGGTGCCATAGCTCATATATGGAGGTCAAAGGATAACTTGTGGAAGTCCTGTGGGCCATGGAGGTGATTAAACTCAACCATGAGGGTTAGTGGCAGGCACCTTCTACCCACTGGGTCAGCCTGCTGGCCCACCACAAATTGCTTTTGTGTTTTAATACCATGTGCCAGATGTGGTGGCGCACACCTTAGTCCCAGCACTTGAGGTGGAGGCAGACAGATCTCCGCGAGTTCAAAGTCAGCCTGGTCTACATGATGAGTTGCAGGACAGCCAGGGCTGCATAGTGAGGCTCTGTCTCAAGATGATGATAACAAACAAACAAACAAATAAATAAATAAAGAGAAAAACAAAAATTCTCCCTCCGTCCCCGTTGGTCTTGGGGACATCCCTGACAGCAGACCTGGGGTTGGCAGGAGGGAGGCTGAGGGGTAAAGCCAGCCAGCAGCTAACTGTGTTGCCTTCATGAAAGCTGGAGTTTTTGACAGTTTCCTATGCCTGGGGCTGGGGATGGGGAATCAAAAGAATCTTCCAGAAAGTATGAAAGTCAGACCGTGGGGTCTGACCCTGGCCTGGTGCGGCTGGCCCAGCTGGTGCCTGGGACTTTGTCCTTGGGGAAGATCCTCCTGGCCCCTCTTTCTCTTGCGTCCTTCCCAGGACAGCTGGGACTGCTCTGAGGTGAGTGGGTCCCAGCCACTCCCAGCACAGTGTCCTCAATGAATGCCTGCTCTTCCCGACTCCCTCCTGCCTAGCTCACGTGATCCTACCAAACTGGTCGCCAGTGGCGCTGACCTTCAGGCTTCCTCACGGATCATGATGGGGGTCCCAGAGTTTCAGATGGGAAGTAAGGCAAGGAGAAGGATGGAGTGGTCTGGAGAGGGGGGAGTGGGGGAGGCATGGGGTAGACACAAGGCCACAGCCTTACCAGGACCAGGATGTTAGGCAGTACGATGTAGTCACTCTCCGAGCCCCGGGACCTGTCGGGCTGGAAATGAAGGCTGCGGTGCTCCACGAAGGACACGGTGTCATTGTCGTTGAAGGTAATGTTGGCCTTATGTCTGTATTCCCTGTAGAGAGACATTGGATCGGCTGGGTGTGTGAAGCCATATGGAAGCTCCCATCAGCTCCCGGCACACCCTGGCAGCCAGGGACCCCAAAGCCCAACAGTGCCAAGGCCAGATCCTTGAGCCCACCCACAGTGGGTACTATCACCTCAATCTCACAGGTGGGGAAACAGGCATACAGAAGTAAAACTCCTTGGCCAGGGGTGGAAGACCAAGCAGCCACTCTTGAGCCCATAGTTTCAACCAAAAGAGCCCAGGATTGGGACATGTGCCACTGAAAGCAAACACCTCTTGGGCCTCAGCTTTTGCATCTGTAGGGTGCACCTCAGCAGGAGCGCACCCATTGGAAACCAAGGAGAGAGTTGCTGGCAGCAAGTCCTAGGCCCTACAGTACCGTAAGCTGGCTTCCTCGCTGGCCCCAGTGGCACCGTTCTCCCTTCTCAGGGCTTTTGCACTGTTCACCCTACTGTTCCAGGGCCACTGTCCCCTCCCATCCTTGAAGTCACAAGTCCCCCCCACACACAGAGGCCCCCTAAAACACAAGCCCCTTCCGTGCTCTCTGCCCCTTCTTAAGTGCCATGTTAACTCGCTTCCTGCACCATTGCCTAACTTTCCTGACTCCATAGCAGTCACTTTGCCCCTTTTGTATCCTCCATGCCCACCCGCCCCCATGAATACACACACACACACACACACACACACACACACACACACACACGTTAGCACTCAGCCCAGGCCCACAGCATCACTCCACAAAGAAACCGTCAGCCATTCTGGCCTCCCCCTTCTGTGCCTGGCCCACATCTGGAGCAATCTCCAAGGCTCAGCGCTGCAGAACCTCCACCACCACAGCCCCACCCGACCCCGCCTGGCCTCACCTGTAGACGTAGGGTCCACGCTCCCGCACTACCGGCTTCTCGCCCTTTAGGATCTCGTCGGGGTTGACCACCTCGAAGAAGTAGACGGACAAATAGAAGGGGACGGGAATCTCCTTCCACATGGCAAAGGACAGGCTGCTGGGGTCTATGCGGACATTCTGTAGGGAGACACAGAGAGGGGTATGAGGAGGGGCTTCCCTATCTACGGTTCACAGCAGCTGCCCGAGACTGGCCCGTGCCAAGGGCCCCAAAGACACACCAGGAAAGAAAGGTGGCTGTGGTGGTCTGAATGAGAATGGCCCCCATGGGCTTATGTATTTGCGTGCTTAGTCCCCAGCCGGTGAACTGTTTGAAAGGATTAGGAGGTGTGGCCTTGTTGGAGAAGGTATGTTGCTAGGGGTGGGCTTTGAGACTTCATTTACATTCATTCACTGATCATTTCACTTTTCATTGTTTATCCCCTCATTCCTTTACTAATCCATTTGTTCCTTTATCCACTCATTCCTTCCTTCCTTCATTAGCTCATTTCCTCATCAAGCATGCTATGAGCCACAACCCTTGACAGGTTAGGTTCCAGGAGTGGCAGACAGCAGTGGGAACGAGACAGACTTGTCTGTCTCCAGCCTTGTGGGGCTCTTACTGAATTAGGGAAACACAGGCTCTGTGCATGGGGGAGGGGGAAGGAAGCCAGTGTCATGTGACATGTTGAGAGAGCAAGGAAAGGGAAGAGGACACTGGGAAGAGGATTACTGGCAGTCACCAGCTTCGAGGGATAGAAAAACACCAAGCAGGGCCGGGGAGGGGCTCAGCTTGTCTAGCACACAGGCAGCCATGGCTTCAGTCACCAGCTGTGTAAAGCAAACATAGTGGTTCAGGGTTGTCCTCCCAGTACTTTGGGGCGCTGAAACAGGAAGATGGTAACTTTGAGGTCAGCCTGGGATACATGATGAATGAGACTCTGTCTCAAAACAAAACCACCAATTTTTTTGACCCTCTGCTTTCTATAGAGCTAAGAGTCCCCGCCCCCAGCTCATCGGAGACATCTCGGGCAATTTCCATCACCTTCGACCGTCTCGGAGCTAGGCCTTCCAGGACAAGGACAACTATCCCACTGTCCCCAAACAGCCAGAAACAAGAGGTGGCAGGCCAGAGCTGGCAGGTCAGGGCGGACTCCAAGGCAGGCGGACACTGGACCACACTCTCCTAGGCCTAGCTTACCTCTCAGGGCCAGAGTTTGTTCTTGAATACTACGAGGCCCCGCCATGGAAGCCATAGTTGGGTCTAGCCTGTCCTCTGTGGGACTCAAAGAAAGTCAACCGTCTGCTGAGGATGAATTCCCACCTAGGAGAGGCCACATCACATCTTCCTATAGCTGTAGCTGCCTGTGGCTGCATTCAGCCACGGCCTGACCATCTGGCACAAACAGAGAGGCATTTGAGGACCCTGGCGGCAGCAGCCAGAGTGTCCCTGGGTGCCCCATGCCAGGCCTTGCCCTCTATACTGTACTTCACACTCTTGGTCAGCACCATAGCCCTTTGAGGCAGCGACTGTCATAGTTGCTTTTCACCCTGGTGACATAGGAGGTCTTGCCATGGACCAAGCACAGTGTCCACCGCATGGGCTACTGAAAGGTTTAAATGAGAAAGGAAAAGGAACAACAGCTGGATCAGACGGGCCCCTGGCATCACATTGCCTCCTAGTGAAAAGTGACCCTCTCCACTCTGCCCCACACTCAAGTAGGTGGATTCTGGCCCACTCTGACCACAGAATCGCTTTTTTTTTTTTCAGTCAAAGATACCAGAGACACCAGGATATGAGACTGGATGACAGTCATGAAACTCAAGGCCAAACACAGCTGATTCTATCACTCCATACAACCCCCTTCCCAAGGTCAGAGATAACAGCCCTGGAACACAGAGTGGGAGAAAGCCGAGGTAAGTCCCCTGAGGACAGTGATGCCCCCAAGGACCCCTTAGGCCAGTCCAGCAGGCAGAAAGGTACCTGGGAGAGCACAGCTGGGCTGGGTATTAACACTTCTTTGAGGGATGGCGAGACGGGTCAGTGGGGAGATGAGGGGTCAATGCTTTTTGGGTGAGCATGACCGGAGTTCAATCCCTAGAACACATATAAAAAAGCTAGGCACAGTGGCACAGGCTTCTAATCATATCACTGGGGAAGCAGAGACAAGCAAATCCCTTGGGTCTCACTGGCTTGCCAGTCTAATCGCCAAGTACCAGGTAAATGACTCTATTTCCAAACATAAAACACAGACAGACAGACAGACAGACAGACAGACACACACACACACACACACACATACACACACTGATAATACTTCTCCCAGAGGTAAATAAGAAGCCTGAGGTCAGGCATGGTGATGCACACCTTTAATCCCAGCACTCTGGAAGGAGAAGTACGTAGATCTCCCTCTGTGAGTTCCAGGCCAGTCAGGGCTACATAATGAGACCCTGTCTCAAAAGGAAACTACACAGGGGGCTGGAGGGATGGCTCAATGGTTGAAATGGATGTGAATGGCAGCTCACAACACATGGCAAAACACTAATGCATTTAAAATAAAAATAAATATTTTTTAAAAAGCTCCTTTAAAAAAAAAGAAGAAGAAACAGCAGCAAAACAATGACAATAACCCGAGACCAGGTGTGGGATTTCTCACCTTAAGTTCTTTTTTTGTTTGTTTGTTTTTGTTTTTCAAGACAGGGTTTCCTTGTGTAGCTCTGTTGACCAGGCTGGCCTCAAACTCATAGAGATCCACCTGCCTCTACCTCCTCCCAAATGCTGGGATTAAAAGTGTGTACTACCACCGTCCAGCATCCCCTCAAGTTTTAGGTCAAGGAGATCACAAACGATACAGGCTGTTGCCCACCAGAACCTGATGGTAAGACTTCACTGCTGACGATACCACACACATCAGTCACAGAATTTAGAGAAATCACATTGGTACTGACCTGGAAGCTTCCTCCCTGCTGTTCAGCTTTCACAATGTGGGAAGGCGCTATGCAGGCGCTGGGGCTGAAAAATCCAACAGTCTTACCCAGCCATGACCCCTGCAAGCTACCATAATAACCAGCCTGGTAAGATAGGCACACCTTTACTCCCAGCACTCAGGAGGCAGAGGCAGGAGGAGTGTGAGGCAACCCAGAGCTACGCAGTGAGACCCTGTCTCAAAGGACAAAAGAAAAGCATATAAAATACAAGTTAGAGGGGGCTGTGGAAGAACCTGGGAGGAGTAGCAAGTCTATACCTTTGAAATGCATTGTGTGAATGCTGTAATCTCAAAGAATAAATAAACGATACCGTATTTAAAATGTAGGCAAGGGCTAAAGATGTAGTTCGGTGGAAGGAGAGCTTGCCCAGCATGTGCAAGGCCCTAGGTTCAATCCCTGTCACCGTGACAAAGCAGACAAAATGGAAAAAAGCCAAAAAAAAAAAGATCTAGCTGTGTGTTGGGGTGCACGATTGTCACCTCAGCGTTCAGGCAGCTGGGGCAGGAGGTTGGCAGCCTTGCCAAGGCCAGCCTGGCCATACAGCAATCGTTCATCTCACAATAGCAGGAGAACAAAACAAAGACCAAACAGGTTGTGCCAGAAAAAGGTCCCAGGGGGGAGTTCCAGCAAAGGCTGGCCAGCCAGGAGAGCATGCCAGGCTCCAGGTCCACCCATGACAAGGGTGTTTGTAAAGTGAGGCTCTAGGAAACATCTGGAGATCTGCTGGGAGATTAGCAACCTGCCTCTGGCAACGCGGACAAGCCCCACGGATGCTCACGACTGCGTGCGTGACCTGGTGGATCAAGTCAGTTCCATCGCCGGCACAGTGGCCCACACATCTCAGCACTCCAGAGCAGACGGGAGAATCAGGACTTGAAGGTCATTCTTGGCTACATAGTGAGCTCAAAGCCAGCCTGGGCTACGTAAAACCCTGCCTCAGGGGAAGGGAGGATACAGTAGGGTACTACAGGGGAAGAAGAGAAGGCAAAAGCAAGGCACACAGGCTGTGTGAGCCTTACTGTGTGAAGGCTCCAGGACAGGAAAGGCTGGCACATCTCCATAAAGGTTTATTCATTTATGTTTTGAATCACTGCAGTTACTTATTTGAGCATATGGGTATGTATGTTGGTTTGCACATGCCTGGGCACACATGTGGGAGTCAGAGGACAACCTGTAGAAATTGGTTTTCCCCTCCCACCATGTGGGTCCCAGGGGTTGAACTCAGGCTTGGTGGCAAGCCCATTCGTCCATCTCACTGGCCCCTAAATTGTATATCCAAACTGAAATTCACCCATAATATTAACAAGATGAGCTGTAAAGTCAATTAGGATGTAATTTCCCAGCAACTGTACAAAAATAGGAAAACCAAGCAAAATAAGTGAGGGCACAGATGAGGTACACAGCCTGGGGAGCTGGCAGGTAGCCATGCCCGTCTGAAATAGGCCGTATCCGTGCAATGCCCAGTGGCTTGTGGAGCCCCTGCTCAGCGCAGAACCCAGAACACCAGCTTCCAAATGCTGCTCGTTCCCTGGGGCAACCTCCTCCAGCCAGAATGACCTCCACTCAGGCGGCAGTATTTCTGACTCTATACTCTGCCCCCTGCTCCTCTAGGGTAGATTTCTGGATTCTTTGCCTGTGATGAGATCTCTCGTAGCCCAGGCTGGCCCTGAACCCTCCATGTAGTTGAGGGTGACCTTGAACTCCTGCTCTTCTCCCTCCACAGTGCCAGAATTAACAAAGCTGTCATTACACCAGGCTCCTAGTGATTTAGATTTTTATTTATTTGTTTGTTTTTAACTTGTGGGGGCCGGCTGTGGAGAGATGGCTCAGTGGCTAAGGGTACCTGCAGCGCTTTTAGGAGACTGAATCTGGTTTCTAGAACTCACATCAGGTGGCTCACAAAGCTGCAACTCCAGCTTCCATGAGATCCAACACCCTCTTCTGGCACCGGCACACATGCACACCCCCCCTACACACACACACTCCTCTTCTGAACCATTTCTCTGGCACCCTCCCCGACATACACACCACGTTTTAAATGCCAGTCGCCCACATGCCAGGGATGTCACAACCCGTATCAGTAAGATCACATCCCAGAGTTTGAAAACTCTGCCCTAGAGGAATCTCAAGGTGCAAGGGCCCAGCGGAGCTGT